AAAAAAAAAAAAAAAAAAAAAAAATCAGTGCACGCAAGACGTTTTAGCAGGACAGGCTATGTTTTTCATGCAGATGCTAAGGGAGACAATGCAGAGGTCAGGAAAAGGTGAACAAATTCTAGAGGCAGAAAACAACAGAAAGCTCTAGGGTTTGGTTCAGAGGGAAGGAAGTATTTGCTGGAGATTAATCAGTGTACTTCAATCTCCTGTGATCCACTATTACAAAAGGATGCTTTATGCAACACAAACGAACCGTGGAGTGCCTTAATGTGCTGGATAAACAGAATTTACAATTCAGACATCTGGAATCACATCTGGTTTATCCAAAAATCAAAGAACATATTTATTAATTCCACTGTTTTTGAGAGAAAAAGATCAGAACACATCCAAGAGAAAATATTAAAAGACATCTATAAGGTGGATTAATGTGATTTGTCAATTCTCTGAGAAAAAAGAAATCTAAGAGATGATCACTTAAAATACCATCAGCTAAATAAACCAGAGATCACTTAAAATACCATCAGCTAAATAAATAGGCAGAGTCACCTGCAATTGTTCTGTAACTTCTTTGTGCGTTTTCTCCATCTGGTTCATTTTGGCTCTCATCTGAGATTCTTGGTATTGAAAATCAGCCTTCAGCTCTGTGATCTGAGGGAAAAAAAGGCAGAGTGACCAGAAGAAATCTCTGTGCAATGAGAAATGTTTTGGTACCAGAGTGCTAAAGGGTCCCCCAAATTAATGAAATCCAGGGCTCTCCTAAAGATTCATACCTAAATCAAAGCCAGGGAACTGTGTATCCTATTTTTTCTAATGATTTCCTGAAAATTACACAAAATCCTGAAATAGCATGTTTGATACTTAACCACTTACTAGAAGGTTTTAGATATTTCATGTATTTAATATATGCAATAATCTTTCAAATACCTCCAAATAAATCAGTGATTATAACAAATATGACTGACAGTTTGAGAGAAGCCATGAGAATAACAGCTGCTGCCATTTACTGAATTTTTACCTTGTTCCAGGCAAACTGTTTGATTATATTATTTCATTCAATCTTATGACAACCCTGTGGGAGAGTAATGCTATTCTTCTCATTTTATAGACGGGAACATCAAAGGCTTAGAAAGGTTAAGTAGAGTGGCCAAGATCATACATGTTAGCAAGTAGCAGAGCTAGAATTCAAACTCCAGGCCTTCTGCTATTGACTATGCTATTCAAGGAACACAGAGAAGAGGTATCTAAATCAGAGAAGTGATGTGTGAGCTGAGTTTTGAGGTACAAGCAGCAACTGGCAGATGAGGTAAGGAAAAGGGCATCTGAGCAAAGGGAACAGTATGGGCACAGGCAGAGTGCGAGATAATTGAGAGCATGTTCAAATGACTGATGACACTGTCAGGAGATGAGGCTACTGATGGGCAGGCATGATGTGGAAGAGCCTGTGTTCCAACCCAAGAGTGTGATCTTGATGCTGAAAGTTATGGGAAATAATCTACTACTTGTTTTTGCTCTTTCTAAAACCCTAACTTTGTGGGAATTCCCTGGTGGTCCAGTGGTTAGGACTCAGCGCTTTCACTGCCCTGGTCCAGGTTCAATCCCTGGTGAGGGAACTAAGATCCCACAATTGCAAAGCACTGGAAACAAGTGTTCATTTTGTCTCTATTTTGCAAAAATCCTTTTATGTGTCATTCTGATCTAGCTCATGAAGAAAATATACTTGGGTCTGCTTTCATCTGACAGTCATGTAGTAAATTGGAAAGAATATTGGTCTCTTCCCATGAATCTCCACCTTACTGGCAGAGTAGAAACATAGCACAGTAGGGTCAGGAAGATTTGGGTTCATTCCTTTGTTCTGCTATTTATCAGCTGTGTGATTTGGACATTTAATTTGGTCGTTTAATCCTCTTGGGTCCACTTCCTCATCTGTAAGATGAGGTAGAAATCAGATGCAAAGTATGCACATAAAGATTTTAACATTATAAATGTCTTTGTTAGCCATTCAGAATGAATCACAGCATTCCGAACACAGTGCATAACAACATACAGCCTCCGGAAGAAAAGAGAGCTAGAGGAAGGGACTGGAACCCTAAGGGGAAAAATACTGAAGGTACTGTTCATCTATGAAATGATGATAATAATACTTCCTACCTCAAAGTGTTGTTATGGGGATAAATGAGTTAATATATATAAGCACTTAGAATGGGGTCAGGCACACAGTAAGCCTCCAAAAAAGTTAGCTATTATTTTTATTGTTATTAAAATATTAAGGCAAAAACGAGATATTCTCTAACAACCTGAAAATAAGAAACAATAGATATGAATCAGAACAAGGACATAAAAAATTCCCCGAAAGAGGGGGAGATGGCTCTTAGACCAGAATAAGGCTTTACTGAAGATATTAATGAGTAGGTCACTCAGGAAGGGAGTTATCAGCAATAGAAACAAAGTGATGCGGTTACAGAGGAAGGCCTACCTGAACACTGTCCAGGGAGGAGAGAGACCTGGTCCACATATTTTGAGTATTACTGTCCACTGGACACAGCCATCCCAATAGTAGAGACGGAGGCATCTGGTTCTCCTAGCCTGAGAGCACTAAAAACTCCCATTATGTAACTACTGCCTCTTGTCCCAACTCCATGCTCATTCAACACCCTCTGATTACAAGCTTCCTAGACAGCTTATGCTGAAAAGAGTAGTACTCTGTTATATTAAGAGGCAGACATTATAGTTGTGAATTAAGAGGCAGACATTATAGTTTTACACATCATCTCTGTAAGCTCGGTCAACATCGGTCCTCCCTTAGAAGTGGAAGCTTCCTCCAAATGCAAGAAAGAAAAATCAACTTTTGGGACTTCCCTGGTGGCACAGTGGTTAAGAATCCGCCTGCCAATGCAGGGGACACAGGTTCGAGCCCTGGTCCGGGAAGATCCCACATGCCATGGAGCAACTAAGCCCGTGTGCCACAAATACTGAGAGCCTGCGTTCTAGAGCTGAGAGTCACAACTACTGAGTCCATATGCCACAACTACTGAAGCCCGGGTGCAAGAGAGAAACCGCACAACAAGAGAGAAGCCACTGCAATGAGAAGCCCATATACCGCAACAAAGAGTAGCCCCCGCTCACCGCAACTAGAGAAAGCCCGCGCGCAGCAACGAAGACCCAACGCAGGCAAAGATAATAAATTTATAAAAAACAAAAACAAAAAAACAGTATCATGCCCTGCACCACATATCTTACCTGCCTGTCTCATTCTGACCTGAGAAGCACTAACTAAACAGTACCTTCTTCTCTTTCTCTAAAATCATTTGATCCTTTTGATGCAGCATCTTCTTTAGAGTGGCTACTTCTTCCTTCAGTTGGGCAATGATGACAAAGTGGTCAGTGCCTGGTGAGTCCAGAGCCAGGTCTGGGGAAAAGCTGAGTGGAAAAATGGAGGGGGAAAAAATCAGTTGGATTGATAAACTTTTTTCTACCTGAGTACACATCGTAGGCCACTTGACTGCAAGTGCAAGAGCAGGAGCAACTACTTGAATTCCCAGCATCAAGCAAAATACACACCTGACTTGAGAGTATTTGCTAAACTGCACAGGTAAGGGAGCCATCAGATAACTATACCAACCAAAGCCACAACCCACAGCATTTCTGCAGCATCTTTGCTCACATTCAGGACTAAAATAAATGCCTTCTCACAAGAGCCAAGGATATTCTGTTCCAGGTTCATTGAAGATTTCCGGTTATTTATGGGTGAGAGTCATAATTTTTTTGTGATTAGATAATTTCCCTAGAATCTGGATAAATTATCAATTGTAAGTTCATGCGTTTTTCTTTAAAGCTACCCATAGAGTTTTTGACTCTCTGTTTTCTGCTCCAAAGCCCACAATGTGGTACAGCTGCTGTGTTCTGCCCCAGGAGCAGTCAGTCTTTTTAAAAAGTGATAGAAAGAAGATGAAATTAATAGGAAAGAAGCCAACTGCCCCCACTACAACTGGCCTGTTCATTGTCACTTCCAATATCAAGAATTCTGCAATATTTAGTTAGGAAAAGAACAAAGAGGTGGCAAACTGCAAAGTCACACCACAACCTGGGGTTTTCAACAGATTCCCCCCAGTAATAGTCTCTGAGCACTACATTTTGTCAAAGTGCCAGGTGAACTCCATCCTTTCAGTAGAGTCTCTTAACCAGGATAAGTTTCAGGGAATCTGTAAAGCTCTGAAATTGTATGAACAATTCTATGTATACATACAATGGATGGTTTCTAGGGTGAGGATCCATAGCTTTCCAAGGCTGGTCAGAGGTGTCTTAGACCCAAGCAAGTTAAGGAATCACTGCCAAGAGAGTCAAATCCTGCCCTTCTCTATAGACTTCCCAAAGGAAGCTCTTTATTTTTCCCAGGGCAACCTTTAAAGTAAAACACAAACCTGTTTCTCCTAACAGATACTGCAATACTGATTCCCAATTCCCTATATCAATATAGCAACTACTCTAGATACCCCTTGCTGTTGGTTCTTTCCTACATCTTAAACAACATCTAATAACTAATAATTCTCTACACAGGTAGAAACTCCAAATAACAAGGTGAACCACTGGACAAACTTCCTCATAGTTACCAAGTCAAACATTTCTATGGCTAGAATGGGAAGACACACTCCATTGATAAGAATATTCCCCCTCAGTCTACACGAAGCATATGAGAAGAATGTCAGAGGAAGAATGGATCACTGCTTTTCTAACTGATAAACGTGCAGAATTACTGGGTAACAAAAAGTAAATGTAAAATAATAAAACAAGGCATGCAGGAGAAAATATTGAAAGGACCCATCACTGTCTCCACCGGTTTTCATGCTCACCAAGGGACTGTCTTCCTTCAACCCAACAGAATCTAGGTAAACCCATAACCAGAGCAACAAATGAAATGGAGTAATGGGCTAGTATAAATAACTTCTTCTTGTCCTCACAGCTCCTAATACTCTGCTCTACCTGCTTCTTCTTCTTTTTTAGCTGAAATATAGTTGATGTACAATATTATGTCAGTTTCATACATGATTTGACATTTGCATATATCATGATCACCGTAAGTCTAGTAAACATCTGTCCCCATATAACATTATTATATTATTGACCATATTCTTTATGCTGTATATTACATCCCCGTAACTTACTGATTATATAACTGGAGGTCTATACCTCTTAATCTCCTTCAACCTATTTTGCCCATCCCCCACCCCCACCCTTCTGACAACTACCTGTTTGTTCTCTGCACCTACGAGCATGTTTTCATTTTGCTTTGTTTTGTTTTTTAGATTCACATATACGTGAGATCATGCAGTACTGGTCTTTCTCCAACTTATTTCATTTTGCATAATACCCTCTAGATCCATCCATGTTGTTGCAAACAGCAAGATTTCATTTTTTATAGATGAGTAATATTCCACTGTGTGTGTGTGTGTGTACACACACGTACACACACACACATCATAGCTTCTTTATCCATTTGTCTATCAATGGTCACTTAGGTTGCTTTCATTATCTTGGCTATCGTAACTAATGCTACAATGAACATTGGGGTGTATATATCTTTTTGAATTAGTATTTTTGTTTTCTTTGGATAAATACTTAGAAGTGAAATTGCTGGATCATATGGCAGTACTATTTTTAATTCTTTGAGGAACCTCAATACTAGTGGCTGCACCAACTTACAATCCCACCAGCAGTGCACAAGAGTTCTATTTTCTCCACATCCTCATCAACACTTGTTGTTTGTTGTCTTTTTGATAGCCATTCTGACAGGTGTGAGGCAGTATCTCATTGTGGTTTTGATTTGCATTTCCCTGATGATCAGTGATGTTGAACATTTTTTCATGTGACTGTAGGCCATCTGTATGTCTTCTTTGGAAAAATGTCTATTCAGGCCCTCTGTCCATTTTATTTTTTTTGATAAACTTTATTTATTTATGGCTGCATTGGGTCTTCGTTGCTGCGTGTGGGCTTTCTCTAGTTGTGTCAAGCGGGGGCTACTCTTAGTTGTGGTGTGTGGGCTTCTCATCGCGGTGGCTTTTCTTGTTGTGGAGCATGGGCTCTGTGGCGGGCGGGCTTCAGTAGTTGTGGCACACGGGCTCAGTAGTTGTGGCTCGCGGGCTCTAGAGTGCAG